ATTAGTTGATGCCTACCTGGGTGCACATCAACAAGAATCTGGTTCAGAAGTAGGACTGAAACTTACAACCAGGCACTCTGTTATGAAATGCAGACATCCCAAGAGTGGTTACTGCAGTGCCACAATGTTCAACTCCCATCGTTGCCTAGTTAATACTATAAATAACATGTAGACCATGCACAAATAAAGAAATATGATCACTTTTGAAAGTATTTCTGCCTAGAATTTATTTCACTTACTTCTACTGAAAGTCACATTCTTCATATATCTAATGGTATGCTTTATATGTACTTTATTCATTTACTTACTTACATAATATAACTATTTTTATCCTATGTATATACCAGTAAATTATATTCAAATCTAAAATTTCTGATAGGCATCATTTTGCAGCAGATTAACTCATCATTTGAGATGATTTACTTTAAGATATAATCACTAACCTCTTCTGTGTGTATGTGTGTCTATATCTGTCATTTTGTCTTTGAAGCAAACAAATATAGAACTTTTTTAAAAAAGCATTCAAATTTCTTTGGATATATAAGGATATGCAACTAAGTTTTGGAATTATTTTCAGTTCAGGAGGTTTATAATGGGTTTACAGATCAAAAATATTGACTGTAAATATTAGGAACGTGTGTCCAGTTCCTTCTGTCTCAGAGCATATCAAAGTTTCTGTGTACCGTGTTAAGCTCCCTGCAGGTATAAGTAGAACTTGAATAAAATATTTGGACTCACTATGAGTCTTCTCTTGAATCCTCATTGCATTTCAGCATGGACTACTGTAATATATGTGTTCTCTGGAAATCTTGTCTTAGCACTGTTAAGCTTCTCTTTCATTTACTTTTGTTACTTGTTGACAACTAAAGAGCAGTATTTTGAATTTGAATTCTCCTTTGTATACAACATGTTGATCTTTTTTACCATTGTGTCTTTTCTTTTTGTGTCTTTGAAAGAAAGCACGTACGTATTCTGGGATTATCATTTTGGCAGTCAGGCCCATCTGGAACACAAGGGCTGTGTCCTTCTCTTTGAGTGTACCCTTTGTCAATCAAGGTTTTAGCATTTATAGAAAGCATATTAACATTACATTAAGACATGCTGGTCTTTCAAGAATATGGATTTATAGTTGTACCACTTAGGGTAATTGCTCTCCAGATACTCATCGAAAGTAGAATTTTAAAGTATTTGCACCTGAATTTCTATTCAATGCTCCTTTGAGAGAAATAATATTTATGGAGGTTATCTTCAGAAAGGATAAGTGCTAAAATCTGTTCATGTATTAACGTAATATTTAAAACGCTCTCTCCCTTTCACCAAACTGAAAATGTGTGGAATTTATTTTACCATATTTAATTTTTCCTTCCCTATGATCCAAAGTGTACTTAAAAAAGGCCATATAAAAGAAAACCTTGTGAAAAAGTTTTGTGTTATTTATAGTTCCTACTGAAATGAACCAAACATCACAGAGCCGTTCAGTAGTAATATTTTTCTGTTCTGGGCAACAATATCCAGGTACTGGGAAAAAAATTAGCTTTTAAGCACATAGATCATGTAATATACAATGTGTAAAACTGAGTATAAGTAGCTGTCCCTCTGAACGAATTCTTAGGAATAACAGAACACATTTTTCTGTTTTTGACAAACCAATTAAAGTACATAGAAATTGTAATGCAAAATTTCTACTTTAATCTCACTTCTGACTGTAATCTTATTTATTTTTTCATCTTATTTTTCTTATTCATGTTGGCATGCTGAATACTTATTTTTAAGCTAATTTTAAATCCCTTTCATGACGTAAACAATAAATGATGTTTGAATGTGTTGTCTTTCCATTTGACAAAGCTTTTCTCAAAACAATGATTAAGCTTGAAACACTAGTCTAACATTGCCACACTTTGGGATCTTTGGGAATTAGACGCTAATCTAGATGAAATTTAGTGTTCAGAATATTAGTGACAGAATACCCTGGATTCACCACCTAAGGAAGAAATAAGGAGATACAAGTGAATAGAACAAAAATTTGGTCTCAATATAATCTGGAAAATGGCCTTAGCTGCTTCCAAAAGAAAATAAGGCAAAAATGGCCCATGAGTATTATCCTACGTTGTGCGCTGACTCTTCTAGTCAGGGCTTGACCTTGGGCAGGATGGCTTTCTGTATTGGAAGCTATCCACCAAATGGCTAACAACTGAATGCTCACTGCTCACTACATTTTCAGATCTATTCCAAATATGCTAGGTATGGCAGATACCCTGAGGAAATTAACGCCCTTGTGCGGGGTCATGCAATTGGGGCAAAAGGCACAGGATGTGATTAGCATGGCTCCTCGATTTACCAAGGCCAAGTGGAGTTTCTGGCTGCATGGCAAGGCCAGGCAGAATATCTCTAATCACCTCATTGCTGCTTCAGCCCATTGTATGGACACTCAATCACCTCTTTGATTCAATTTTCTGGAATTCTATAGGTGGTGGTGTTTTTCTGCAAATGTGAAATGATTTATGTAACCGGTTTAATATTGGAGACTGATTTTATCAATCATATTATGGTAAAAGGAACTTGAGCAACTTAAGACAATGAAACACAGCTTAAAGCATACCATATCACAATTCAGGCTTTATCATTCCCAAAGGTCTTATTGTGTGCCCACTTTTGACTTGGAACTTACTCTAAGATGTATGAGGTTCTCCATAAGAAATGGCTTGATGATATCTTAAAACAGATGGCAATCATGAAGGTACAAAGAGTTCATTTACCATGCAGCCTCGTACTGTTACAACACATGAAATGATGCGTTTGGTTTGTCACCATGGAAAGCAGAAAGTATATGGGCATCTTCTCAAGGGAGGCAAATGTGAACTCCCAGAGAAAAATGGTTTAAAACTTCTACCAAATATTGACACCTACATTTAGGGAAAAAACTAATTTGAAAATAACCCACATATCAATCAACTTCTGGTAACTTTGTTCATTAATATAGTAAAATTATTAGCTTTTAATTTGATCAATGAATACATATTCAACAAATTATCAGAGATTTCTTGGATAGAAATTGGTACTGAAAAAAGTAGAGTAAGTGCAATAATTCTTAACTTCAGGAGTTCATTATCCTAAAATTGCTAGCAATAAGGCTTAGAAAACACCTAACAGCCTTAAGTTTGGTTTGAAAAAAATAGAGGAAGTTGGGTGTTGGAAATCTGGGTGTGATAGCAGATTGTAACAAATACATTATAATCATACCGTATGCTAGCAAAGGGAGAATTGAGTGTGTGGCTTAGGAAAATAATTACTACTTTACAAGTTTTGCTTTGTACATTAAAGTTATTCTGCAATACTATTAAATAAATTTAAATAGAAATCATATAAGAAATAAATCTGCCCTGTAGACTTCTATGACCCTACCTTGAATAAAAAACATAACTCTAACATGGAATACCAGAGAAGGAATAAAAGTAAGGAAGATACATTTAGTAGTCAGAAATATGAGATATCTTTCTGAAGTTCGCAGGTTACTTTTTTAAATTCCATTTTCTACAAATTTTTGAAATACAAATGTATGACATTTAAACCAAATTTAAAAGTGCAAATCTATCCAATGTGAATCAAGCATTATAATTCAAGCACACCTTTTCTCATCGAATAAAAATCTTTGTAATCTTTGAGTTAGAAATGAAAATAAAAAAGCATATAATTGAACAAGCAGTATATCATAAAACAAAGCATGTTTTTTGTTGCATAATCATCTCATGTTAGTTTTCTACATTTAAAAAACTCCTGCCCTTAGGAGTCCATGATTAATGTTTGCATGAAGATGTAGTTTTACAAAAACTTTATTGTATTCTCACTTGTTAGTTTCAAATAATGAACATCATCAGTCTGAAAGAATCTATAATAAGAAAAACTACTAAGGAAATTAATTGACTTATTCTTCAATTTGTACTTTCCTCCTTAAAGTTAATTGTTTAATTAAAAGTTTAACTTTATCACAAAGTGAAACTATTTATTCATAATTGAAGTTATGTTTGAATTCAGCTTTACCTTTATGTAAAGAAATACAGTTTAATTAAGATGTAGATTCACATCTTTTTCAGACTTACTGCATACACCTAAATTAATTTTTAGTCTCGCTTTATTGAAAGGAAAAAGTCGAAGATAGTACTACTAACTTGCTCATACACCTCTCCTGTTGAAAGTATAAATCTGATGCAATGATATCACATTATTCCAGCATGTTTAACTAACCTTACTTCGAAACACTGAAATGTCACTCTAAGCTCCACACAATACAGAAATTCCAAACTAACAGCAAAAGATTAATCTAAAAAGCACAATGAAGTGATGCAAAGAAACAAAAATATACATTTTCCTTTCTCCTGGTCTCATAATTGTATTTTTCTTAAAAGTACTTGCTGTGTTTAACTATGCAAGAGAAACAAAAAGTTTTGGTGGTATTGTTTGCATTTGGAGATTGTAAGTTAGCTGACATAATTTATGATCTCCTGAAAATAAACCGAGTGCAAAACATGTACATATGTACATATTTTTAAAATTACTTATATTTCAATAAAGTAACTCTAGAAGTCTACTGCTACCTTCCATTTTCATGTGAATTAAAGTGACACAACCTGTTCTGTGGTGGTGTGATGGCAGTCTTGCAGACCTGCTTTGTATCAATTAGCATCTACATTTCAAAGAGGTCTAATATTTTATATATCAACTCTGGGTTTTAAAGACTTATTGAAGGGGGTAATTCAAAATATATGAAATGATTCCTAGTTAAAAATCACATTGTGGTATTAATGGATTTGCCTTGATCTTTGTTAAGTAGGATTTGTGTCTACAATGGTTACTACACTAAATGACATGTAGGAACATAAAGCACTGAAGGGAATGGCAATATGTCAATTAACATTGTTAGTTGCTTCAGAGTCATTTTATGAGGAAATATTCGATATTTCTAAGTATAGATCTTGACATAACAAAATTCTAGAAATGCGTACCTTGCACAGTTAGATGCACCTGCATTGTTCTCGGCGTGTGCTGAGTCTGCACAGAACACGTGTATGGGCCATCATCTGTCACATCTACATTCTGTATCTGGAGGCTGTAGTCCCTCTTATTCAATGTTGAAATTGAAACTCGAGGATCCACTGACCACTTATCACCTCCCGCAAAAATAATACTTGACCGGTTCAGCCAGGCACCCTTTGAAGCTCCATCTTCCAAATAACACCTACAAATTTCCAGAGACAGAACACTATTAATCAAAATGAAAATGAGACACAATATCCTCTTTGTTCTGAATGCTAACTCATATGCTGAAAAACAGCACAGAACCAAATCCAAACATCAGACATAAACTCGGGAGACAAAACATACTGACACATCTTTCACTCCCAATGCAAATGTAAAACAATACCTGAAAACAGTTTTTTTTTTTTTTTAAGTGTGTGTGTGTGCTTCACTTCAAGGCCAGTCAAATGCCTTTTAATTTGGTTTCAATGACAATAAATTAACACAATTTAAATTAGCACAAGTAATTGTCCTATGGTAAATTATACTTTTATTTCACATTATACCAGCAAAGTTTTATGGGTTAGGATGACTCAGTCAAGTTCAATTCTGAAGGCGAAGTTACAGACTCAGAAAGCATAACATCACTCAGTGTTAATCTTCAAAATATTTGCAAAATTGTAAAGCTGAACACAGAAATTACAAGCTGCATTTTGTTGACTAAGCTATATGTAATGTTTACTGATTGGTGTGGTAAACAAGGTGATGCTAACTTTTTTTTAGTAATATTTTGCTGTCTTTTTAACAAGCTGATCTAGAAAAGCACTAACCTATCCAATGAACATTCACATGGCACCCAGTTACAGAGTTCAAAATGTACTTCACTGCTCTCTAAGATTTTTAGCCTAGTAATGAAGATGGTTGAGCACACCAATTATTGCCATCCAGAAAGGAGTATTTTGTTTAAATTATAGATAAGGTAACATGTGCAAAGGAGGGTTTCTTGATGCAAAAATGTGTGGAGAATGTAGAGCAAGCATTACCTATAGTAGGAAATGTCTGAGAAAGTAGGTGACAAGCTGATGACAAGGTATTTTTAACATAGACTTGGCATGACAGCACTACCAGCTAAAACTGAGAGACATAGGCAATTCAAATGTGTACAAAACAGCACGGTAGAGGCAGAGAAAACATGAGAGATCAAATTAGCTAGATAAACTAGAGCCCATGGATCGCAGCAAGTCTAATGATGACCAGATTTTCAGCCAAATTCAATGTCATAATCTAAGTAACAATTCTAAAGTATAGCTTTGTGTTTAATGGAAATCAGGCACATCAAGAATTAGAATAGAAGGCTGTAGCCATACGCCACTGATTTTGCTGAAGTCTGGAATTCTGTGTTTCATCCTGAAAATGTTACAAATTAAAGGTTGTTTTTCTTAAATGAGTACAAAGTGCAGCTACTGAATGAAAACATACACACACAAAAAGAGTTTGACAGCCTTTCCACAGAGCACCTTGGGGAATTGAACAGTCTGAGACTGCTACAAAATTGCAAGCTGAAGGCATCAGAGCAGGTTGCTGCCAACTGGCTGAATCTCATCAGTGGGTGAAAAAGTTACAAGCAAGATACACTGCAGCTTCATTTGCTGTCAAATTCATCATCTACAGAATCCAAGCTACCAGTAATCTAAAAGGTCATCTTTAATTGAAAAAGCCTTACTTTATGTATTTAGTAGGGAACATGAGATCTCTTTAATGATATAATTAAATAACTGTAGGATATCATCATTCTTTATAACATGAAGAATGGATAGAAAATACATCCCATTTCCCAAAATCACAATTGTTATCATTCGGGGAAGGGTTCCTAAAATACCACTATTGGAAAGTGGAACTATAATACTGCAATATGCCACCTAGTGTCTGAATTTCCTGGGTACTTGTTACTTTTCTTGCATTTCTGAACTTCACGTCTTGGTCCACTGGGTGCACCTGACAAGGCAACAGGGTGTGGATTTCTATGGCCTTCATCACCGGTACATGTGTGGAGATGTTTGGGTTAAGTGACTTGTCAAAAGTCCAACTGTTGGTTGATGGTGAAGTTGAATTCATAATTATCTTTTCTTTCCACTTTTCATATCATTTCCAGTGTAATGGAGATCAAAGACTTTTAAAATAAGCTTGAAAAATAGGAAAATGATTAGAATGTTGCAGAAATTACTGCAAGTAATTTCTTATTTACTGAATGTGACCAAGTGTTTAACCTGTCCTATTCTAAAGGAAGCAGAAAATCAATTACTAATGGATATTTTACTGTGAAAGTTTGATCGAGAGCATTCTACCATACATTTCCCTTTTGCTAGAGGCAGCAACATTTTACAATTTGTTTTAATATTTTTGGGAAAACCACAAGGATTAATTACTAGCCTTAATGCAAGTCCTATCCCTCCACTCACTCCAGTGTAGAATTTAAATGCTTTGCTTTGAAAAGAAAGGAAAAAAGGAATGAAAGCAAACTTTGATAATTACATTTCACAACTATCACTGATTTTAACCCCGATTTTTTCAGGATGCATATTGGGATGATTCCTGAATGAGATTCTAACAAAGAAATGTTTTGTTTTTAATTGCTTTCTTTCATTCATGTAAAGTTCTTGTCAAACTATAATTCTGAGAAGGGATCTACCACATATGAAATTTTTTAAGTAGTGAGTAGTAAGATTTTATATGGCTTTCTAGTAAAAATCATATGATAATTATATGGATAGTGTATATAGATTTAGGGTCAAATATAAGATGAGTATGTAAAATACAAGAAATAGTCTAAAGTCCCAAGACGCAAATATGTGTGTGTATGTGTGCTTGTGTAGGTTTGAATTATCATTAGAATAAATACTCATTGAGAACAGGTATTATTCCTTTTTCCCTAATTCCTTTCTTCTTCATCTTTACCTTATTTTTCCCCTCGAATATGCTGCTTGATGTACACATGCCACTCTAAAACATTCTAGTGATGTAAGATGTGCAGGATATGTGTATTGGGATGTGTTAGAGGAGCTGGGGAGCATGATAACAATGTATTTCTGTACTCCTCAGGCATCCAAAGCTCTTTTTATTGATATAAGAATTCTGGTGTGCAAAAGTATAAATCCTTGCCCTCACAGAATATGTTAGCACATATTTTAAAGCATATTCATATCTGTGTGTATACATACATATGTATATATTTCATTTACAAAAACATATGTGAATTTCTGCAATGAGTGAACAAAGGGAATAATTAAGATACTTTGGGTAAATGAATAATATGGTAAAATATGTTAGAATTACCTTTGTGCTAATTGGGAAAACCAAGTCACAATCACAAAATTAGCAGTAACATACACTTAATGTAACTACACATGGCCTACATTAAAGCTGGTAAAGCTTGTAGAGGACATGCTAAGTAATTCAAGTCAATAGTTAAGGAACTGAGCTTCAAATTGATTGAGCACAGGAAAGGCACATGCAAGAATCAAAGATGGATAGCAACCTGAGCTAATCATTTATATATGCCACCATTTGCAATGAACAAAAGTTGTATCTTTTAGTGCCTATACCTCAAGAACTTCTACAAACTACCAGTCAATCTTATTTTTTGTTATATATTTTGTTAAGGACTTCACATTTGGCATCCATTTAATTATTTCATAACCTATAATCTAGATACAACTAAAACATCATATTTAAAAAATATATTGAAAGGTTTTCTAATGAATAGTTGAATCTCACTCTTAGCTGCAGAGACATATCTATCTTACTGTGTCTTTCTAGAAAAAGGTGTAGGCCATTGCCTAGGTTGTCTTGCACCTAGGCAAGTATTATCCTGCTGGGTCTGATTAATGCCCAATATTGTTAATTATGTCAGTGTGTAGCACAGTTACCTATTCTTTTTCTTTCCCAAGAAAGATAACTGGGAACCCATACCTAGGTATGCATGGGTCTTGGGCAGACAGGTAAGACCACAGGGTAGCATGATACACCACCAGAGGACTGGGCTTGGGGATCTGCACACACATGGGTATGAAGGACTATGAATTGCTCAAGGAAAGGGGAATGTTAGGAAGGAAAACTGCTGAGGGAAATTACAACAGGTGAGAAGTGACTTCTGGGAGACTTCAATTGGCCAGACTAATACACCTGCAGGTAAATGAGGGGACTGAGGCTGGGTGGTTTGGCAGAGGGAAAATAGAACACCTTCAAGGTGAAACCAATAAATCTACCCAATTACCGGAACATGCAAAACTCATGACTGGGGATAGGGTGCTACCTGGCAGGCCACAAGACCCACAAGCACACAAAGGCCAAGATTGGGGGGAGACTATGCTGGGATATGTCTAACACCCATTCCCATTGGCATGCATGAGAGATGGGTTTGAGTGTGGGTATGCAGACTTGGTGAACTCCTCTGGTGGACTATAGCTCTCACTGGTGAGCATGTGCATCAACTTGGTGTTGGTCAGGTTAGACTGGGTTGCTTCATTTGTTGGAAGATATATGGGTTGGCTCTAGCTTTGCACACTGAGCAGGGATATGTGAAACCATAGCACACTAACACATACAAGAGCCATCATAGGGTGCAGGTGATGCTGGGCTAAGCCAAGCTATCATACCTACTTGTTTGCATGAAAGCCAGGGATGCAGGCAGACTAGGCAGGGATAGGTTGCAGCACCCACCAGCAAAAGTTGGGAATAGAGGTGGGCCAGGTCAGGGCAGGCCAGGCTACAGTATCTGATGGCAAAGGACAAGCAGAGTGATTGGCCATGTTAGGCTGGGTCAGACCAAACACTAGCATGTGCAAGATCTGTGGCTGGGAGCAGGCCTTGTCAGGAAGTTAAAGGAATGCCCTAGCTAGGCTGTGGTTCCCATTAATGAGCACAAGAGCTGTAATGGGAGCAGAGAACTGGCTCAACATGGCTGCAGTATCCCTCCTCTACCATGACCTGGTCTGGGGTATACCAGACTGGACTAGGCTCCAGAACCCACTGGTACTCATGAGAAGCAGGATAGGTGTAGGAGACACTGGGTTATGTCTCTGCAACTGCTGAACCATGCGAGAGCTGGATTTGGGGGTAGGCCAGGCATGACTGGGCTATAGCACTCAATGATAACAGCTAGATTGGGTGTGGGCTGATCAGGCAAGGTGACTGTACCTGCCAGGACAGGAGGCAAGCCAA